CATATTACAGTGCTTACCACCTTGCATAGGTGCTAGGCAGGGCCAAGCCTGAGCTTGCACATATCCGCTTATCTTCTCACACCGCTCTTTTTCCCCTCACTCCTGTCGGCGCCCTTCAAAGGATTTGGTGCCACTTTCGGGTTCCCCAACACCCTGGTTGAGAATCACTGACCTATATAGATATGGCCAATAGTTAGCATTTATTGCCATTAATAGTACACTTCTAGGTAAGTGCAAATCCCCTATAAGGATGCTGTAGAAATGTTGGGCTGGAAGGGACATCTAGAAGTAATTGAGTCCATCCTGCTCTGAGGCAAAACCAAGTATACCTTCATCGCCCCTGACAGATGTGTGTCTAACCCATTCTTAAAGCACCCCAATGAAGTGGACTCTGTCACCTTCCTCAGCTGCTTGTTCCAGCTCTCAACTCACTGTATAGGCAGACACTTTTCCCTGATATCCAGTGTAAGTCTCCCTTGCTGCAAAGAAAGTGGAGTATGTCTTATCCTACCCTCAGTGGACGTGGGGAGCCCTTGGCCACCATTCTTTTGATAATCATAGTTTTCCTTATTGCAAGGCTGTTATCATGTCCCTCTTTCTATCCTGAACAAGCTCAAGTCTTTCATACTTTCCTTATAGGTCTCATTTTCTAACCCATTTATTATTTTCATTGCTCTCTTTCAAATGCTCTCTTCTGGACTCTTTCCATGTGGGTGCCAAGTAGAGAAGAGTAACTACTTCCCTTGTACTGCATAGGATATTCCTGTTAAGCTTACAGAACAAGGAGTGTTGTAGGTAATACTGAAGGGTAATACTGCAAATCCCTGGATGTCCTTCAGACTCCTGATCCTCTGAGAAGCCAACAGGAAATGCCAGCACCTCCTACTCACGCTGTCATCAGGTTTCTACAATTTGCTGGTGCAGCGCTTAACTAAGTTTAGTTTTTTAGCTTTTCTCAGCAAGTTTCCTATAAACCACCAAGAGACTCCAGACTAAACCAAAGCTGATGAGGCTATGATTTCAAACGTGTGAGTAACTTAATTGGGTCCTATTGCCTGCTTGTCACAAGACACAGAGTTCTGGGGATGTTTAAGGCCATTAGAGGGATTAGCACCACGTTTATTCCGGGCTGAATGAGACAATTTAATTTCTCTTAAGTGTGCCACCCTCCCTGGGGCATGTTCTCACATGCAGACTCCCTGCCAACACAGTGTCAAAAACCTGTACTTGCTTTTTACTGTTTTTTTAATTAAATTAGACTCACAAACAAGTGTCATGCAACTGTAATGCTGTGAAGAAAAAGCGAGTTGTGATCTGGTTGTCAAATGTGTT